ACAATAGTAATAAAGAGCAGCAGGGGTGGGTGTTGGCCTTCAGGGTGGGGTATTATCCCATTACACATTTCAAAGGTTTTAACAAACCAAAAATTGGTAAAATATTTCCTGCTCTGTGCCCTGTTCGAAAAAAATAATTTCAACATGAGATGAAATGAATATTCGCTGATTATATCCAATTTCATGATAATTCCATTTCTTCACATTACCTGTTATATTCAGCCAAGGCTCATGTTTTCTCCTTTCACACTGATGCAAAGTTCCATTTGCAATAGCCAAAGATTAATTCTGACTCTGGTCACTGTCTTTCCATTTCTTCTTATAGTGACAGCAATTTACTTCATTCCATGACCCATAATGCATTCTGGAGGCACATTCTGATTATTGTCCACACATACTGTACAATGGACGTCCAGACATCAAAACATTTGCAAAGCAGTCTGTCCAGGATAGAACCCCATCTCTCGTAACACAGTGTTCAACTTTCTATGTGCTCCTCAGTTACTGATTTGGTTACTTTATCATTTGTTTCTGGGATCTGATTACCTGGAGTTACCTAGTTTATGCTTGAGGCTTCTGGACTCATTGATCTTGGCTTACTGCTGTTTTTCTGAAAAAGTACTCAAGTTCAAGTTCTGATTTTCTTGTCTCGAAAGTTGTTTTGTTACTCTAACAATTCTAAAGTACAGTTAACACTTCTAGACCTCTTTAAGAGACAGAGTAGAGACCCCTCAATCCAATGTGGTGTTTTAGGATCTGTCACTAGTAGGTGACTACAAAAGTTGCACATTCAATTTCAAATGAAGATTTATTCATCCAAATTTTTTACTTCTCTGATGCACACCAACCTTCTGAATGCACTTCCTCATGCAGTCAAACGTTCCACTATTCTCAGTAACTAACGCATTCCACTTACCAAATAAATGCCTTCATTTCACTTAAATCATTCTCATCTTTACAGTCCCCACTTCCTGTTTCTCACCCATCCTGTCGTCTAGTAAGTGTCCATGGAAATAGGGTCTTCAACTCCTCCTGTATTTGTGTGTTAAATGTTGTAGTCTCAGATGTTTTGTACATTTATATTTTTACTTGTACCAATTGTACCCACGGACAGCTCTGTGGAATGTATGGGCACTTTATAAAATGAAGTATAATTATAATAATAAATTGTCCAAATTCCATAACTCCAAATTGCTGTATGACTAATTCTTGAAACAAAGCAACGGTAAGGAAATAATGACTGTCTGAACCGTTTTGTTCCGTGATTAGGACTTCCATCTAAGGTGCTAAAAAATTAATATGATTGGTGGAAAAAAGATGACTGATGGCAATTTGATGACCACTAAATGCTGATTTTTTTTCACAAGTCATGTGAGAAGTGACCATTAGAGAGGGGGGGAGGCGAAGGAAGAGCACAGGGGCATGTCCAGAGCAGTGTGCAAACCCAATTCATCCTCCCTTTTCTTTTAGCAATGAACAACAAAAAATTCCCCAACTGCTAAAGATGCTAAGTATACCTCAAGTCCTGATTTCAACCGCTAAGGAAGTATTTTGGAGACAAATTAGATGGAGAGCCTGAGGCTTTCCACTCCAACATGGTATCACAAGCACTTTCTATTGTCTCACAAGATTTGTGAGCTACTACATATTTTGCCCTCCAAGGATCACATCACTAAGATGAAGACTGATATGGATAGATTGTTCCAACTTAATTACAGAATTGGGGTCTGACCGTAATTTATGCACCATGGTGAAAGACTTGAAGAAGTCAGTTGAACATCATAATACTGCCATAACCTCAAGTGAGTAGCAATACTGATCTCTTTTTTTTTTAACAATATTAGAGTTTGGGGTGTTCCAGAACCAACTTTGAGAACTGTAAAATGGTTTAATTAGATTTTAGACCATTCACAGGACACTTTCATTGAGTTTGGTTGCACCCATCAAGTGCTGAAACCAAAGAACAGGGTGGGAGATTCTCCTTGTGGCATAATTTGTGATTTTCACTATCTCTCCTATAGCAATTCATTTAATGGAAGGTAAAATATTCACCTGCACGGTATTATCTTCAACTGTTCCAGGATGTATTTTGACTATGCTGCCAGTGAGAAGGATTAAACCCAGGATAAAATAGTTGTACCAAAAAAAACAATATTTATAATACAAACTAAATATAACCACTAACTATGATACTTCGAAAAATATAATAAAGCGAATAAGTCCCTGAACTAGGTATAAATGAATACCATTTAAAAGAAAGCAGAGCACAGCAGCAATATCCAATTGGAAAGTCTACAAGGGTTCCCCAAGGTCCACCTTTCATTGTAGTAGGAGAGGATCATTCAGCTCATTCTGATTGGGCTTGAACCTTACATTAGAGATGGTCTACCTTCTACCACCCAAAATCTTTACCAAGAGCAAATTTATACAGCTTCTTTATGGGTAGTGTAGAATATTATATATTCTGTAGTTCTATTTTTTATACATGTTTAGGTATGGATGTCCAGTGGGTGAAACAGAACAAATGGTAGTTTGCTATTCTGTACCATGAATACTCTGGAATGGGCTGTATAGGGAGATTGGGGGTCGTGTCCTTATATGGCCAGAGTATGACGTAGGTTTGAGTATAACAAACAGGGGACAAAGGAACACATTCTCTTTCTTCTTGTCCTGCTCTTCACTCTGCTCTCTGTAACGTTGTTAAGAAATACCATCTGTTAAGTATATTATTGTTTGCTTTTGGAGTAGAATAAATGCTGTGACGAGACCAATCTTGCCGCATTGCATTGGAGAAGACTGGTTGCTCGCCTGCTGCCTCTGGACTATGGCCCCCTGTTAAAAGACATCTTTTTTACCTGCAGAAAAGCTACATTGGTGCTTTTCTGCCTGGGGTTCGGTAGATTTGTTTGAATGTGTTATACCCCAGATAGGAATCCCATGGAGCCCATTCGTATGAAACTGACTGTAAAGACTTTGGCTCCATGGCGATTAAACTGCCATTCGCTTAATAATGTGCGCTCAGACCTGAGCTATCTGGGGATATGTTAAATGTCTGTGTGTTATGTGTAAAAGGTGACTTTATGTATTTTAAAGTGTTTTACTGTCTTTGTGTCACCATGTGCATAATGGAGTCTTGTCCCTGTCCTGGGAGATAATTGAATTACTTCTCACTTATCTCCAGGGCAGAGGAGAGGAAGCCAGGATGCATTGTGGTAAAAGGTATGTGTATTGGGTTACCTCTCAGGATAAGGGGGAGGGAATCTGTGGGTTGTAACTAATATGTTACTGGATATTTTATACCTCCCTGTGGGCGGTCCTGTATTTGCAAGACTGTAATAAAAACCAGGCTGGGTGTGCCAGCACCTCAGACCACTGCTTGACCCTCAACACGGAGCCTTGTCTCGTTCTTGGGGGGATTCACTGTATGCTGTTAGAGACTGATTGCCAGGAGTGTAAGCTGATTGTCTGCTTTTCCTGTTCGTCTGCTAGCAGCTATTTGGGAGGTTCCAGTTCGGGAGTTGGAGTGCTATTTTGTATCCAGTTCGGGAGTTTGGTGTTCTGCAGTAGCTGTGCCTGTATCTCTGGAAAGGGGGCTGTAGCGGATAGCACCAGGCGACCCTACAAATATACTGTATATACCTGCATTCGTGTATCTGCTGTGTTTTCTATGTATTAAAGAGAATTGTATTCCTCTGATTGTTCGGTAGTTTCATTCCCTTAGTTTATTCGAATGAAACTACCGAACAACCAGACCTCCCCTGTGTGAAGTGTGTCCTCAATTACCTGTTGCAACATTGTTGCGAACGGGTAATTGAACAGTAAGTAGCCGTCCTTTGTTCTCGGGGGTGGCCGCCATTCGACAAACTCCCGAACAGCGGTGTTTTGCCGTCGAGTGTCTGGAACTAAAATCGGACACTCGAGTAGGCGAACACCGCTGAGACCTCCACAGCCCTGGTCCGTTCGGTTCCAAACTACCGAACGGCCCCTCATTCGGTAGATAGAAAATACCGAACGAGGGGATTCAGGCGAACCCTCCCTAGCCTCTATAGCTAGAGGTTTTCGTGTATTTTATTCCCTTATGCCAGGACCGACCGCAGGGCCCATTCACATGGAACCAGATTCGGCTATCTCAGTTCGTGCGGTCGGTCATTTTATTCCCTCCATACTTTTCCCGAACCCCTGGTCTGATCTGGGTGATTTTTGGATATGTTGGTCACCCAGATCAGGGGTATCCGGGGATGTAGGATTTAAAGAGGTATCCCTACGTTTAGGGGTACATCCAGAAACGGGGGGAATTGGTGTGCTGGATAAGGGGATTATGATGCTGGCTGAGGGGAGGAGATGTGTGGGAGGTTATCAGGACAGGATTGGCTACTGTAATAATTACTGTAAATCCCTCCCTTGCATGGGAGCATGCTTTATAAGGAGACTGTGATTAAAGGCTTTCAGTTATGCTCCTGAAACTGTGTGTCGTCCAGTTATTGGGATTGCTGTTGGGATATTGCTGTATTTTACCTGCTGGAAACCTTGCCTGTGGATTTACTATTTACTTGTTCCTGAGTCCTCACTTGGATTATAAGCGGAGATAACCTGGGTAATATTGCATCTCCGCTACATTGGTTGGCAGCGCTGGGATCCAGACTCACAGAGGAACAAGCCTAAATGGAGTACGGATGGAGATTGATTTTGCCACACTAAAACGCTCCACGCTAAAAGACCTTCTGGAGGCAAGGGGTATACAAGCCAGCAATAAGACAAAAGCGGTACTCATTACTGAACTGATGGCGGAGTACCGAATGGACGGCGATTCGGTTCCCGAACAGGGGAATTCGGGAGAAACACCGGAACGAAGGGAGTTCCAGAGGCAGGTACAATTTCGTCTGTCTTTCTATGGGGAACACCCTCCAACAATTTTAGGAAATTTTTTATTTAAAAAGTTATATTCTTGCTTAGTTAAAATAGCTTGAGATATTCCTTTATTTAAAAACGTTAAAAAGAGGGTCTGAATAGTTTTTGTTGGGTCTAATAGGAGTTTTTCGTAGACTTCTGGGTCATTTAGTTGTCTGAGCGCTTCTTCAATGTACATGGCACTCGATAAGATGACCAGGCCACCACCTTTATCGGCAGGTTTTATTACAATGTCGTTATCATCTTGTAGTTCTTTAAGTGCTTGTTTTTCTTTGTTTGTTAGATTTTGTTTATCATATTTATTGGTCTGTAATTTGTTTAGGTCATGTGTGACTAATTTTTCAAAGACAGTTAAAGGGGCAGTTTTCATAAAAGCTGGATAAAATTTAGATTTTTCTTTAAAATGTTTTTAAATAAAGGAATATCTCAAGCTATTTTAACTAAGCAAGAATATAACTTTTTAAATAAAAAATTTCCTAAAATTCCAGTAATATACTTCCTGCCAAAGATACATAAAAATGCTACTAACCCTCCAGGTAGACCGATAGTGTCAGGGATAGATTCGCTCCTATGCAACCTATCCCAGTACATAGACAATCTCCTGCAGCCTGCTGTTAAAAAGATGAAGTCTTATCTTCAGGATTCTATGTCCCTTTTAAACTTTTTAAATGATTTTAAATGGGACTCTAATTTTATTCTGGTCACCTGTGACGTCCAATCACTCTACACGATTATACCTCATGATATTGGATGCGAAGCCATTAGAAATATTTTAAAAAAGGAAGATAGAATTCCTGAAGTACAAATTGATTTTATTTTAGAGGGTATCAATATCATTTTAAAAAACAATTATTTTTGGTTTTTAGACTCTTTTTACCTCCAAAGAAGAGGAACCGCCATGGGTACCAGGTTTGCCCCCAGTTATGCCAACCTATTTATGGCAGACTGGGAATCAACAGCTATCTATAATGGCAACCACCTAAGGGCAAACCTGGTCTCATATTTTAGATACATTGATGATCTCTTTTTTATCTGGAATGGATCTTATCTCTTTTTTTAATGTTCTTAATACCAATAATAGGGGCATAATTTTAACTCACGATTTTAGCAAAGAACAAATAAATTTCCTAGATCTTAATATATTCATAAAAAATGGGAAAATTAATACAAAAACCTTCTTTAAAGAAGTCTGTGTTAACACAGTCATCGACAAAAATAGTTGCCACTATAAACCGTGGCTTGACAGTGCCCCGAAAAGCCAATTCCTTAGACTATGCAGAAATTGCACAGAACTAGGAAATTTTGAAGAACAAGCTAATGCCCTTAAAAACAAATTTATGGAGAGAAACTATCCAGAAAAAGATTTACTTGAAAATATAAATGAGATAAAAAACAAAAATAGAGATGAGCTCTTAAAGTACAAACCAAAAATTAAAAATGACTCTATATCTCTCCCCATCATTTTTAAATATACCAATAAAAGTAAAGAAATAAGGAAGACCATTCATAAACACTGGCATATCCTAGAACATGATGAAAAACTCTCCAAAATCATTCCAAAAAAACCGAGTATAATTTTTAGAGGGGCCCCCAATGTGAAATCCATTCTAACTACCAATTTTACTAAAATACCTAAACCAAGTGTGTCTTTCTTCCCCCAATCTTCAGGTTTTTATAAATGTAAGAATTGTATTGCATGCAAAACAGCCGATCCTACAATGCCACCTAAAATAATACAATTTATGTCAAATAAAACCAAAACCTCCTTTAAAATAAAGGAATTCATTACATGTAACACTAAAAATGTCATTTACTTACTGGAATGCCCGTGTGGCTTCCAATACGTCGGAATGACCACTAGATGTTTAAAAATAAGATTAGGTGAGCATTGTAGGAATATTAAGAATGGTTTTTTAAATCACTCTCTATCTAAACATTTCTTAATTCACAATAAAGACCCCAAAATGTTAAAATATACGGGAATTAAAAAATGTTCTCTACCCTGGAGAGGAGGAGATATAAAAAATATTTTAGGTAAAACAGAGATGGAATGGGTCTATAAGCTACAGACCCTAATACCCAACGGACTTAATGCAGATTTTGATCTGCATAATTTTTTATAGAAAGTCTTTTAATTATATTTCATACCCACCTTGTGTTACCATCATGTTTTACCTTAATTTATGTCATACCCTAATTTTTAAAGTATATATTTTTAATTACTCTGATGCTATATCTATTTATTTTTTATTATATTTTTATTTTTAGCAAAGTGCTTTTAAATCATGTTTATATTATTATTATGATTTCATATTATGTTCTGCATCTACTGCATCTATTGTATGTTCTGTGCCTTTTATAAAAATACAAAGTCTGTGGAGGTCACATTTAAAAATGTATTTATTACATATTGGGGTCTTATGTTATAATAATTACTTCACTCCTGGTGTATAACAGCATGTAGGGGTGCCCAGTGACCGGCTGGACTTCATTTCCCAACATACTTTGCATTACCAGCCGGCCACCGAGCACTCCGTTCACACCAGGAAGTGTTTCGCCGAAAAAACGATCTGCGCATGCGCGCAGCGTCCCGATCACGTGATCGGAACCAACAACTAATTATATCGTCCTAAAGCTTCGTTTTTATTATATGTATATATTTTAAGCCTAATTAGGCTTATATTAATGCATCTATTATGTTTAAAAGTTATTTTGAAATGTATTTTAAATATTGATTGTAATTTCCTTTGTGATTCGTGCATCAAATTTTGGCGCCATTTTCAAACCCTTGTGAACCTATATATTCAACCTTTTGCCAGGTGTACTGTTCTTTTACCATTTTGAAAAAACCTTAAAGGTGAAACGCGTAAATGGTTATTATAAGTGTATTTTAGTCAATAAAAGTTATTTTTTGGTTACCTTTCAATATAGGACCAATTTTTTTACTTATTTTATTGTACTATATACTCTTTTATTTATTTATTTTTTACTCCTGGCATATTTTTACTATATATAATTATTTTAAATTACTCCAACACTTTATTTTTATTTTTAATTTTATTTTATACTTTCACTGTATTATTTTATTTTATTATCCACCACTGGAGTGCATCCCGTCTAAAGAAATCCTGAGGTGGGGATAATTCCACCAGCGCGGTGGGAATAGAGCAGTATCTGTCTGCTCTATTTTTGTAAGTATAACTGATTTATACATATTACTGTGTTGTTCATACTGAGAGCACTATCTGCTGTTTTATATATCTCGTGGACACCTACCATCCAATACTGGAAAGGCGGACCTATCTCCCCAGCATAACGAATATTGCACATCTGAGTAGGTCCTAGCCTACACCAAAGAAACTTCAAACCGGACGGACAGACCAACTGTTCAGTATATCCGATAGTGGGGATCAAACCACTAAGTGCCTTCTCTCCGAGAGCTGGATAAAGCTCCAACAAATGTGAGTGAAATACCTTTTCCTTTGAATATATATTACTCTTTGGACATACAATATTTCACCATTGGAAGCCTTTCTTCTCTCATTTTTTGTCTTCACATATATGGACCACCCACCATAAGGACGGAGTGACATTTGAGGACTTATATTATATCACTGCACATCAGTGAGATTGTTTTAACTTATACTTTTCTTATATGTGGATGAACTTATTGTTTTTTACCTTTATTTATTTTTACCTTCTTTTGTCTATTCTTTGCTAAGCGCAGCCCTAAACTCCTTTTTTTTAATCTTTTTGCCTTATAAGGGTTCTGTGAGGGATTCCCTTTCAGGGTTGCTGCTCAATTGAGTCAGCGCAGACTCTTCCCCTCTATTTTTATTAGTGTGTAAATTTGTCCAACAACATTTGAACTAGAAGGATGGTGTAGAAGATAATGAGCAACAGAATCAGACCATGTTGGACAGGGTCTGTATTTCAGAGTCTACCCCTGGGACTGCTGTCCATATGGAGCAAGAGTGGAGTAGACCAAATGGCTGGATTGTACCACCCAGCTGAAGTTCAGCGCCGTCAAGGAAACCCGAGTAGGGCGCGATTGGACGCTCGTCAGCCTGAAGGTAGGGTATAGTTAAGTGGATCATCTAGTTCCATGCGATCGTGAAATTCTGAAGCTGATTACCCACTGGAATAGGCCCTCAGTCCACGGACCTAGTTTTGTGAACTCGAGGTCCGTAATCCTGGCATCAACCCAAAAAAGAAAAAACGAAAAAAAAAACTAACTTCGTTAGTGACGTTTTAGCAATGCCTAGTATGTATTTAGAACGTAAGTCCCCTTTACTAATGACAGGCATATCTAGGGTGCAGATTTGTGACAGGATGTCATCCGTCCAAGGCAGGAGTCGTGCCGAGGTTTGAGAACTTTGGATGGCCTAACCTGAGCAGATGCAGGTATTGATCAATACTGTAGCGAAGGTTGCACCCCGACCCAGCGAAGTCAGTGTTGGTCCTGATGTCAAACTCTGGGGTCATTGTGACCTAACAGGGTAGTGATGCACTGGGGCACACGGTTTGCCATCTTTCATGCGCTTCCCGGTTTTGTGAACTACGAGTTCCGTAGAGGGTTGAATGAGCAGGGGTCAGTTGTCGATGACCTGAGGTGACAAATGGGGTGCGGATATAATCGCGGTATCCATATCGAACCCACACCGATATCATTGCCGGTACCTTCTGTCACTTCTCCCAAAAGAGCTAGTGAGTAGGGAACGCACTACTGGTCCGTGGCTCCGGTCTGCTCCTGCGCCTAGCGCATACCAGTACTTCCAGACTTGGGGATATGAGTTGACCCCATTCCAGTATTGCTTGCGAGAAAGTGTATGTCAGCTCTCGAAGGCATCAGCATCTCTTGCTTCGTCCAATAGGAGAGGCTGTCTGAGGAGGATATCCATAACTGCATAAATAATAACTTAGTGAGATTGCCTGCTCAATGCAATGTGTGTTATAAAATGGCATATATATCTGAAATATATATCTGAAATATCTGAACTCCCCAGTTCAGAGTAAAAGTCCAGGAGTATATCCAGTAGGGAGGTACAGTGGCACCGACACAGCGAGCCAATCATAGGAGCTGTAACAGCGACAGCCAGTTCAAACAGCCTGTGCTCTGCCCCATACGGTACCAGGGAAAGCTAGAATCTGGTTGGAGGTTCTCCCCCGTAATACTTCAGAGGTTATATCCAAACAGCATTGGGTTGAGATATGAGAGGGGTTCACCTACTACTAGAGAGATTAGTATCGATATCAGCAGCGGCCATGCTTGTGAGAGTGCCGCACCCTCTAATAATGACAATTGTCTCCATAACAGCAGCAGGCTGAATATATGAGAGGGCTGCACCCTCTAATAATGCCTT